TTCAGTTTATTGTTTCAAAGAAAGTTTTACGCACAATAACCTAAACTTTACGATTAAATATTTTTTAAAAATCTTAACGATTTTGTAGTGACGTTAGATCAGGTTGGTAATCGATAGAATGCCGACTTCAAATTAAACGTGTCTTGTCAAGAAGTGCATCCTTTTGTGAAAGAATCGGACGTGTTTATAACAAACGACGAGAAAAAATGATTCACACGGTTTATCGCGATATAGACACTAAACGATCGCAATATACTTTGGAAACGAGGAGCCAGTATAGTTGGCATTTTTAAAAGTGAAAATGAAAATTAAAGTATAACCATAAATTAAATATTGCCTGACGTTTACAAATCTCACATTCTAACTTATGAAGTTTGAAACATTGGGATTGAGTGAAAATAAGTTTCAAATATATTCAAATGAATATATTCTTTAATTATAGATAATTATATATTATTTCAGCTGAAGCTACTCAAACTTTAAAAAAAAACTGTACGTTTTGAAGTTTGCAGGCAAATCACCGTTATAAATACAATATAAATATAATTTTGTGAACATATACATTAACAATTTCGTATCTAATAATTTACGATCGATATCGTGTAAAATACTTAAAACAGTAATCAATTAATGAACCAAAAGTGCAATCTTCTGCCCCTTTTATACTTTTCAGTTAATAATTTCTATATAAAATAAATAGAAAGAATTGCTTGCCTTGTTATTTAATCTAAATAAATTATTCTTGTATTTCGAATAATTTTCTGTTACTTATTACTATTATACATTGCCACTGTAATTTTTCAACGAAATGCAGCCAAATGTTTTAATTCCATTATAAGCGGAATTTATTAAGAACGTTAAGAAAAAATTACAGAAGTGTTATAAAAATATGGAAAAATCATACAGGGATGAAGAATGATACAATAAAAAATTTTATTCGTGTAATATACACGTTTAAGGATAAGATAAGTGATTAATCATTGTGCTGCACCTTATGTTTACATTCACGAAATCTCCGTGTCTGACCATTCTGAATGCTTCACTACTTACTAAGCGCTAGTACAGTGAATTCGTTATCATCAAATATAAATAGCTCGCGTTGCAAAATATCGGATTATCAGACCACAATCTCGTATTGCAAAATATTAAGATTTACAATTGCAAGCTCGTGTTGCTTGCGATAAATTAACATTAGAAATCATCGGATCACGTTGCAAAATATTACAATTTACAAGCGTAAGCTCCTATTGCAAAATGTTGCAATTAAACTTAGTACGTTCGGAGTATAAAATATTGTACTAGAAAAGTATCGTAAAACGTAGAATTACTCTTTATCATGAAAATAATGATTACTTTTGGATTAAAACGAAAAGTACATTTGTACAGAAATCTTTGATTAATATGATTTATTGTCTCGTTTTGCTATTGATGGAAACATTTAATACAGTTCGAAACTTGATATTAAAAATTCAGTTTTTATACTTATTGAAATGAACGAACAGTTTCGTTTGTAACTATTTTATGCAGTGATTTCCCATTCGAACGAATTACGACAATGTAACAGAATTCAATATAACAGGGAATTTATCGAAGGAGTATCGAATGGAATATTTTTCTCAGACTGAGATATAAATTCGCTTACTGTTTCCCAAGAAAGCACTATTGATCGTACGAAGTCACTTGGCACGTAAGGACAAGCATTTGCTCACCATGTGAAGGACACAGTATCCGAAAAAATATTTTTATCCCAATCTTGCGTCAGAGAAAGAAGAAAGAATCAGAAGGAAACAGTGAACGATAGACTGTTAATCGTGAATTTTTCTGTAGTTCATACAATCACATTTTATCAACGTTTTACTGTACGCAAAGCTATCATTGGTCTCGCTTAATTTTATACTTATGATTAAAAATTTCTGTCACATTGCGACTTCGTGATTTTCTACGGAACTTTATGCGGATATCGTATTTTATACGAAATTTTATGCAGATTCTGTAATTTTATATTTTCACGTTAATTAAATTACGCGATTCGTGCGAATGAAATTGTTATAGATATGTTTATACGGGCTCTGTGATTTTATATTTTCGTGTTAATTAAATTTGGTAAGTTTATACGGATTGCGTAATGTTATATTTTCACGTTAATTAAATTAACATGAATTAATGAAATTAATATGAAAAGCAATGGCTTACGCCCGTAATTTTTCAGTTTCAAGATCTCTAAATTTGTAATTTCACAATTTCGTTCAGAATGTTCTATTTAAGATGAAAGGTTCAGGGCGGATCTCTATGTTCTGTTGACCTATTTTCTCAGCAGTAGCTGCCATCGACCCTGAACAACGTTCAAACCTGGGATCGGTAACTTGACCTAATTCTTACGAGTTGGACGCCCTCGTGTCCTTGAACTGATAACCGAGGGAGATTTACCAACACTTAGTAGTATTATTACAGCCATTGATACTATTGCAATTTTAAATTAATAAAGTGTAAGATATAAAGTATGAAAAATTCATGAAATTGGTAAAGTATCAAAGTTTAATAAAGATAGGGAAGAATTTTTCCAAAATAATTGATTTTCATGGATACTTTAGTTATTCGTTAAATTTAACGTATGTAACATTAACAACGTAATACAATTTCTTTAATTTTCTTAATTTAGGGTAGTCTTTTAATTTTCTTAATTTCTTTAACTTAGGGTAATCCTTGAATTCCTTGAATTTATTTAACTTAGGTTAATCCTTCAATTTCTTTCATTTAGGGCAATTCTTCGATTGCTATATAAGAAGAAATAATGGTGGTTGTGTAACAGACACGTGTTCCGAATTGTGTCACTATGGTGACACAGAAGATAGGGGCTGTGACTTAATATAGGGAGAGGGATGCTTTTGATGTCCCTTAACTACTGGTAGATTTAATTTCGTTTAGTATCAGAGACATATGTACGATGTAAATTGATAACAAAAGAAGCAAAATCGAAATTTTATGCGAATAGAAATTCACATACATAAGTACATGATTTTTTTGTTACGTTTTAGACGCACACTATACACAATTACTCATAATACTGTCTTCTTTTTCTTTTTTCATATTAAATATTTGCGTTTTCCTCTGACTTATCACTGCAACCGCAAAACGCGTTCTTTTATCAGCATTGCAGAATTTCCTGAATGAAAAATATTGCAAGGAATTGCAATTACGTATGTATCCTTAAGTCGTGTTTCGTTTCGTTTATCTAATCCTGTATTAACATAGATACTATAATATTTTCCTACTTAACGTGTTTACTGCTAATCTTTGCATATATGCGATGCACTGATTTCTGTAACAGTAAAATACATAGTTTGCATATTTCATAAAACTATTAAAATGTAGTATGAACTAAGTCTCTGTACAACCTATACTTGAATATATTATCAACTTACCAATAAAAATATGTAGATTGTATCAAATCCATTAAATCTATTTTTCAAACTTAAATTGATCAAATGCTCGGAAGATTCGAATTCAAGTTGATCGAATGATCGAAAGATTCGAATTCAAATTGATCGAATGATCGACAGATTGAGATTCAAATTGATCGAACGATGGAAAGATTGTAATTCATGTCGATCGTATTAAATCCACGAAATAACTCATTTAAATGTAAAGAAGTGTTAAAAGAAAAATTACGAAACACTTTCAACATAACGCGAAGTAGTTATTGATACTCCTCGTCACGATAAGCGTTCCACGTTCCATTGACAAAGGTGCATTGACTCTAATCGTAGGTGCATTAGCGCAAGGTTGAAGGCCAACAGCTTGAGGAGTCGATTCAACGCAAATGTCTGCCCCATTTTTGGCGGGACAATTGTCTTAAGCCGATGAGAACCGATCTAATCGTTGACTTATCGTTTGCTCAATGGAATTCGCGGCAGCTTGCTGCGTATCAGATGTCAATCTCTCACGTTGTTTCAGAACTATTAGGCAGGTCAGTCAGAAACCAACGGTGGGAATTCTATTTCGACGAGTCCGACATCTTCGTGAAGCCACTGGCATTTATCTGGGTCATTGACACGTCGAAAAAGAAATGCTTGATTTCTGTCTTCGTCTTCGCTTATTATACTAACGTTTGTTAATGATAACATTAAGCGAATTTCTACGTTTACAAAAATTTAAGTAAATCGGTTAATAATATCTGAACGATGT